CATACCTCTAACACATGGCACAGTTGGCAGTAGGTCTTACCATCATCTGCACAGAAGGCACCATGGTTCTATCTATCAGGCTGTACAGCGGCTGGGCTATGAAGACGGGGATCAAGTGAACTGCTTATCAACATTGACAGCATTGATTAACAGTTACGGCCATTTGTTAGGGATAGTGGGATTTTCTTAAAGAGGGTTAGACCCTTTACTGATTCAAAATAAACTTGTTTTCTGCCAGAGGTAAACCTTGACACAAACGTATTCAGACTTGATGGAAATAAAAGCAAAGATTTGGGGTTGATGAAAATGTATTTGTAAATCAGTCATTTAAAAATTTGGGCAAGGTTTCGTTTTTCGGTTTCCCATAATCCATAAGTTGTAATATATTGAAAGTAAATAACTAAGGCTTTTCCAATGTTCCAAAGGTTTTTCAATTTAGTAATTTACATCTTTCTTTATAATAATTTCAACATTAAAATCCTTTTATTAAAATATTGAAAATAGTGGGTTGTAATTTCACATTATTTCCTAAGGCAAGGTTTGTTCAAATTAGCATGAATACGAATACAATTTGATAAGCTTTAGATTTGTGGTCAGTTATGCTGAGAAAAATATTACTGTAGAACCACCATTTCAAATATATGTATTATGTTCTGTTCACTAGGAATTTATGAACATTTGTCACATGCTGTCACATTTGCTGTGAATAACAGTGACATGTGTATCAATATAACATGTATTTTCCCCCAACAGCGTTGATTATCAAGAAGGAAAAAACACCTAATGGCTGCTGTTTCTCCTTTAATACCAGCTCTGTCATATCTCATGCAGAAAATGACACTGTAATTACTAGTTTCACTGATTGGGAAATGCAACAATCAATAGTTACATTAGTAAACACAATGTGGCCATGCTCCCCCAATGACTAGCCATTGATCCTACTGGGACAGTAATAATAGCAGTTAGATCCAGACTGGGATATTATCATTGTATATATACTAGGTCATCGGTGTGAGTCCTATTTATTAAATGGGTCAGAATTATGCTGACCATTGGCTGGTTTCCAACAAGCCCAATGAACAGTGCTATTGGGAATATGTGATCGTATTCTTCAGCAGGTGTGGGAGATTATCTACCTTAGTGTTGGTATTCATGTTGCCAAGCTGCCGCGGTGAATACAACATAGGTCAGAAATGATCCATATACTGCAGTCATTATGGCCTTATTAATTGATATATTTCCATGATGGATGGAATGTTGGAGCTGACACTTTTGTCATGTGCTGAATCTGTATTGCTTAATTGTACTGACACAAAAGATCAAACTGACCTCATTTTCTTCAATATCTATAGAATTTTGTGTGCAGGTGAAAGTTTTAATATCTTGGGTTGATTAGAATTAAAAGGTTGAGTAGTTATGGTTTAAGTGTTTTCTTGTCAAGTTCATAAGTGGAGTTCATATGTGGTCCAATTTGAGAAGCTGAGGCTGATAGTGTTACTCAAAATCGTATCTGATGTGAATCATGATATGCTTTGAAACTACGTGTCATAAACTCAAAACCTTAACTTTTGTAATAAAGAGCCATGGCCTGCTGTTCATTATCGCTTATCACATGAGATGGAATGATCGCAGGAAAGGTGGAAAAGTTGAAGGCTGTTTGAATCTTGTAGTTGGCAATATCTTTGGTTGTTAGCTGACATCAGCACTTTAAAAGGGTATTTAAATCTTGTTGTTGACTGTAGCTTTGGTTGTAAGCTGACATCAGCACTTTAGAACGGTATTAAAATCTTGTAGTTGGCCATAAAATTAGTTGTTAGCATACAGCAGCAAATTTATAAGGGTATCTGAATCTTGTAGTTGACTTTAGTATAAGTTGTTAGCCTACAACAGCAAATTTGTAAGGGTATCTGAATCTTGTAGTTGACTTTAGTATAAGTTGTTAGCCTACAACAGCAAATTTGTAAGGGTATCTGAATCTTGTAGTTGACTTTAGTATAAGTTGTTAGCCTACAACAGCAAGTTTATAAGGGTATCTGAATCTTGTAGTTGACTTTAGTATAAGTTGTTAGCCTACAACAGCAAATTTCTTGTAGTACTTTAGTATAAGGTATCTCTGAATCTTGTAGTTGACTTTAGTATAAGTTGTTAGCCTACAACAGCAAGTTTATAAGGGTATCTGAATCTTGTAGTTGACTTTAGTATAAGTTGTTAGCCTACAACAGCAAGTTTATAAGGGTATCTGAATCTTGTAGTTATCCATAGCACTAGTTGCAAGCTTATAGCAACTACTTAAGTGTATTTGAATCATATTGGATATGTGTTGGTGGCAGTTAAACAAGGCAAAAACAGCTTGTTATGAGGGATAGAAAGAGACAACACGGAACCTATCAATAATTTACATCATTGTAAGAGCTTGCCATTCTGCTCAAACTAGTACTACTTGTTATTCAACATACAATTGATTAGCTAATTAGATCAACAAGGTAATGGGGTTTTGTCCACCTTGAGTATATCCAGGTGTACGAATGGCAAAGGATCTTGATGCTCTGTGTTGTTCAGTGTCAGTTGTCACCTTTGATTGAATAGGTCTTCACAACTACATCTACCATAAAAGGCGACTATCTTGTCTAAGAGGCGACTAATGGGATCGGGTGGTCATCTACAACTACATCTTTCAACTACATCTACATGCTGTTGACAACTACAACTACAACTACACTGAGCTTCTGGATTGACTTTTGTCTCAATATTTTGAAAATTGCACAGCTGATTTTCATTAACTTTTACAACTGATGTTTGTTTTGTCTCAATATTTTGAAATGCCTACTTTTTTTTCATTAACTTTTGTGATGTTTGTTTTTTTAAATGCCTACTTTTTTTTTTAAATGCCGAAAATGATGAGGGAATGAATTTCTGTAAGTCTTTTTATTTTCAAACTAATGAAAGTCCTTTAATTCAGTGTCAGAGCTTAATTCAGAGTTGGAGGTTAATTTCAAGATTCAGGATATTCACAAATCATTGCTGAAGCTTTTCTCAGAAAATCTCCCATTATTATGTGGTTCCTTTCAGTGTTTTATATGCTAAATTTGACCTGATATCCTGAGTGTATGAGGGCCAGTGAATAATCCTATTAGCCTTAGGAAGTATTTTTAGCTTTCCAAACAACTGCTCGATGTCCAGCTGTCATTTGATATGCATCATAACTCCCATTTATGACCTGAGCATGAACAAGCTGTATATCTCCCGAGAGAGCCATTGGTCACTAACTGTGTCAGCTTTTTTATGACAGTTAATCCAATAAGCTGAATACACTACCTGCAGTGGCCCCTACAGCATTACCTTCCTCGCCACTGACCCATGCAAATGCTGGCCATTTAATGTATATCGGTCAGTTCGATTTGGTCACCACCTGGCCATCCTATTGGTCAGCGCTAAAGTAAAGGCTTTAAAAACCAATAAAGTGGTCGGGCCCTGTCGGATGTTAATCAACCAGTGTCCAAGGGTGGAGAGGATTGGGCCGATAACCAGATAGAGGCTAAGCGATACCAGATATGTCGGTCAGTGATCACTGCCTCACTCCCTTGCGCTCAGGCCAGCCTGACCGTTCAGGGTCAGTTCGGGAGTATTAAGGTCAGCCGTACTGAATATGAATGTGCTGTCCACTCAGAAGCCTCAAGCTGGATGTTAGGCCACTTAGGCAGATGGTCAGTGTGGGCTCCGACCACAGTGGACACTGGTTTATGAATATGAGATGTGGTTTGAAACTGACCAATGGTGATCAATCTTCCGTCTCCCTGAGGTTATTTATTTAATGTGAGGTCAGCAGAGACCGGTGGTTGATAGAGGATCCTCACTTAGACTTGTTAGCAGTGATTTGTGTGTTGAAGGGATGATGAAGATGATGATAGGATTAATTGTCTGTGGTCCTATTTAATGAGTGACAACGGTGTGGGCTTGACCTGACACTCAGGACACTGTTACGGATACCCAGTGTTAGAGATGGCAGATACTGGCATTGGAGATACGGTCACCTAGGACGCACTATGATAGGGACATTGGCTCACATTTCAGGAATAGCTCAAGGTAAATAGATAAAACGCTGTGTCACATAACATCATTTTTTTTTCATCCTAGAAAACTTAGATATGCTTTATTTTGGTCTCGTCCTAAAAATAATGTGAAATATTCCAAGGAAATAATATCATGTTTATTGATATTTTTTCTCTTTTGGTAAAATGCTGATGATTTTTTAACCAGGTCTGATAACAGCTTACTGGGTAGGTTGAATAATTAGTCCATGTAGATTAGGTAAAGGATGTAGAAGTGTCGGGTGTTTTGGGTTGGAAGTGAGTGTTAACTTGGCAGCTATGAGTGAGATAGATAAATTGATTGTTGCCATATAGTGATCTAAGGAACTATGTATTGTTGAGTTCCGGAAGAACATGATGTATTGCATGATAGGTGACATGTTGATATGGTTGTGATGAACCCTGTGTGATGAGACTGTAAACTATACTGACTGACTGAGTATGGCTTTACGCCATGTTTAGCGTATTCCAGCAATATCAGGCGGGGTACACCAGAAATGGGCTTCACAAATTGTAAGCTATAAAGAAACATATTGTGCAGATATTTTTCACAATTTTGAATTGTTGCTTCCTTAAGTTACTTTTTTTATTGGTATTTGTGGGTTCCAGTTCACTTTCAATATGATCTTAGTCTGTCTCACAGTACCTGAACCACATTATTTTCCCTACTGCCTAGCCCTATCTGCAGTGCTAAAGCCCTAAATAAAGCAAGTCTAGATTTCCTCAGGTTCAGGGATCTCTGGTCTCCCTAGGGCTCCTTTTCAATTTAAATGGGCTTGTTTGTTACTATCAAAATTATATATATTCAGAGACTAAGCATTAGTCTAATATCATCTGTGAACTTGTTTTCAGTATTTGAGATGTGTTTGTTTCTGAGTTTATACTGAGGATGTGTTTGTGTCTGTGTTGCAGTGGAACAGGAGAATGACCTGCTGGTGTGCGGAGACTGCCAGGCGAACTTCCCTCTCCGGGATATCCTGCGCTTCATCCGCCACAAGGTCCGGCGCTGCAACAAGGAGAACATCGACTTGCTTGATGGTGTCGACTTTGACGAAGACGATGCAGACTCCGAAACTGCAGCCTTGGCATGCATTGGCTCTAAACGGCCCAGCATTTCCGCCCCAATCACTCGCAAAGAGTCGATTGAGAGTCGCCCCTCGCCCCGCCCCTCATTGGACTCACAGAAAGACCTCAACTTTGATGACAAACCGCCGCCGCCCCTCCAGCACATGGTTACAGACGAAGACGATACAAGAGACGAGGCGAAAGAGAGAGTACCTCTGATGCCCAAACAGGTTGTGGATGCAGAATCCAACACAACGTTATCAGGTGAGTGTTCGCTCATTCTTACTACCTTTGTCGTGAAAAATGTTCACAACTTGGACATGTCGGAGATGTAAATTTAGTTCCATAACCATTAGGATTCGTCACTGTTGGCCATTGTTACTGAACATCTTTGGTTTGTCTACACCAGGTTTAATTAATAGATTTTTCTGAAGCAACACAGACCCATGAAGATCCGGGTGTAAGAATTGATCTTCAGTAACCCATGCTTGTCATAAGAGGCGACTGACGTGATCGGGTGATCAGGCTTGCTGACTTGGTAACCCTGTTGCATAGACTGATGCTCATGCTGTTGATCACTGGATTGTCTGGTCCAGACTTGATTATTTACAGACAGACGCCATATAGCTGGAATATTGCTGTGTGTGATGTAAAACTAAACTCACTCACTCACTCAGAACAACTCAGACTCTGTATGACTTCGTCCCTTTCACCACTGGTTGCAGTGGTTGTAAGGATGGAGCACATATTGGGTTCGAGATGCTCACTAAGTTCTAAACTTTGCATTGTTACCTATACATGAGATACCAAAACTGAAAGTGAACTCTGTTTTTTTTCTACATGATTAGATTCCGTAATTTACTTAGTAAATAGCCCAGTAATGATCTAAAGAAATGACAGCAATACATAATTTATGATGGTAATAGCACTTAGTAGTAATAACACTAGGCCGTGTATAAGCAATCAATTGACTGGCTTGGAAACAGCCATTTCGTGTGATGGAGATTCTGTAATTGCTTTAGCATTGTTACTCTTTCAAATGTTGGTAAATCTTTGACATTTTTAACCCCCACATACTATTGTCTCCATGGAGATTAATATGAAATTACTGAGTCAGATAGACCTGTGTTCCTCAGTCCTTTAACAACTTAACCACCAAATCGTTACAGTGAACCATGAGGATATTCATCTCAGATCGGTCCCTATATATCAGACTTCCCTAATGGGGAAGATCTGGGTTAGAATTGGTCTTCAGATCCCATGCTTGTCCTAAGAGGCCACTAACGGGATCGGATGGTCAGGTTCACTGACTTGGTTGACATAGGTCATCGTATCCCAATTGTGTAGATCAATGCTCATGATGTTTATCACTGGATTGTCTGGTCCAGACTCGATTATAACAGACAGCCACCATATAGCTGGAATATGGTTGAGTGTGGCGTTGAACAACAAACAAAATAAAAACCTTTATCCAGGCTTTGACCCGCCACTGGTTTACCTGGTCCAGATCAATCTTGTTAGGATGCCATATGTGTTGCATTTTGCTGGCTTTGGCACTAAACTCACTATGTCCTTTCAGTAAGTAACCATGGTTTCAAGCCTCCAGCTTCTCCAAACAGGCATTGTTACCTTATCTGTAAAACTAATTAGATAGCTTGGACTTGTCATGTTCCTGGGTATGGGATATGCAGAATGTTATTACTGCTTCAGTGTGTGATGAACATCTATGGCCAGTAGTCTGGTATATCCTAGGGGTAGCAAAGTGTGGAATGTTGTTACAGCTTTGCCCTGTAACAGTGTATGAGCTGCATGGTCTTGAAGATGGAATGTTAGCAGCCACAAGGTTTTGGCTAAGTCTGCATAATAACTACCACGTGTGATATAAAAACTGGTGAGTGTCAAGCTGTTAACACCAGAGTATAGCGGAGCGTGGCAGCGACTCACCTCTGAGAACGAGGCAAGGGACCCACACACCAACTGCTGTTCATGCCTCCTCCACTGCTGATGTTGATGCTATTTCAGGCTGCCAGAAGATGAAACCCATCATAAATCCGTCCTGTAGTCAAGCTCCCACTAAATATTGTAAATGTATGTAGGTAAACTAGTATATGTTACTGTGTTAAGCTGGATGGATGTCTTCAAGCCAAAGGGCTGAATATATTTCTTCTTTGCATGTTTTACATACAGGGTGGGGTGTGGTAATGTTCAAGTTTTTCTGATCGTATGTTCGATTATTTGTGTCTGTGTTTCCCTGTTATTTCGGACAGCAGCTCTCTTTATGGAACTGTGCAGTATGGTCTTGCTCACATGCTTGGTTGCACACAAAAAGTGACATTTAAGTGTTACACAGTTGTGAGAGAAACAACTAGATCCACTTACGTGTTTGGTTAACAGAGGTTAATTAAACTGTAGTCTCTTGAGACCTCATGTCAATAACCTTGGAAAGTATGCAGTATTTGCATATCATCCTGACTCTGTGGAAACAAATTGTCCTTGTACCTTTTTTATGTTTTTGGTTATGAATTAATTCATGATCTCTCATGGTAATGCATAGTTAGACCAAACCAGCTGCGCTTGGACGTTTCTTCATGTGTGCAAGGTGCAAGTTTAGGCCCATGTGATTTGTGAGTTATTTATCTCTTTCCGATGAAGATGACTCATGATAGAAGGTTTGTTTTTGCTGACTTTATTACAGTTTGTTTTGCTGAAGAATGTGATTTGTCATCTAAAACCAGCTTCTGACAGGATATATCATTTTGGTGAAATCAAGAAATACCTCTAGATAGATATCGCTGTAAAAAGATATCATAGCATTACAATACTTTGCACAGCATTGTGACGTCATTTGTTACCATGTCACAATCAAACGACATCACAAATCTGCCACTGACACTGGTTATTGTACTTTTTACTCTCAAGTCAGTAATGTTACTGTTTTCAAACAAAAGAAAGTAGAAAAATTATTTTGAGCGATAAATAGAATCTCTCATTGGGTCTTCTTACATCAAAAGACATCAGGTGAAATCTCTAAATGTACAAAAAAAATTAATCTTAATTTTCATTGATGTTGAATATTTCAATATTTCATTGAAGTTAAGAATCATTTCTGCTTCAATTCTGAAATATATAAATGAAATCTAATTGCTCTTATTCTATGCATTCATAAATTATTCAGTGTCACTGTGATCTAATTATTTTTTGCATAGAATTGTGATTGATGACATGTGATGTAGTCAAGTATGCAGTTCTGATATTTGGTACTTGTTGTATCCATATTCATGGGATATGACAGCATCATCAAAGTTGTGGCAGATTTGGTGATGGCGCCTCCGTTGCAGCTCTCTATATCATCTGTAGCTGAGGAAGCTGGTAGAGCCATCCACACAACATTAACAGTGTTACAGATAATCACTGTTTTCTTAATTGTCTCTGTTTCATGGACATTATATGCAGGTTGGTCCACTGAGGCCTGTTTAATTGTTAAAATTGCTCTGCACCTCTGACTCCATTTCAGTTATTACACACAATGGTTTGTGCGGACAACCTACTTTTTCCTTCCGTCATCCTCTTTCTACGATGCAAAATCCCTAAATAAAACTAGTCTAAATTTCCTCAGGTTCAAGATCTTAATCTACTATCTTGCTTGATCTTCTTGATTTAAATAGAACTATTTGCTTTCATCAGAATTTATATATGTTCAGAGACTAAGTGTTAGTCTAGCCAACCTACTTGTAGCAGGTAAATTTATAGAAGATTAGCACCAAAAATTTGTAAGTGACATTGTTCTGATCATTATATCTTTGAAAGGGATTCAAGGAATCTGTGAGAATTCTGTGAGCCATCTCTGCATGATACCTGCGAGATGTACCCTTTGTCTTTGGCACTACATGTCGCTCTTTAGTGACTCGCATTTTGAAATGCACATCCTGGTGCAAATATACAATCAATATTGGCCCAACTTGAGACTATGTCAAATTGTGGTGGTTGTCAACTAACATCACTATGTTAATACTGGATAGGAGACAAAATAGTCGTGCTCTAACAGTTGTTTTAATTCAGTTGACCTGGGGGTTTTAACCTTAAGGTGCCTTTTTTTAATAATCACTATATTAATGATATTTATGCAAATTTATTATTATCTAAACATTTGGAAGTCATATTGCAAAAATGTTGCAGAGCTAATGAAGTCACGAACCTTAGACATCTCACATTGGAATTTGGTTTAACTTTACCTTTTCGCAAAACAATCTGATGGATGTTAGATTTTCTCTTTCATGTTCAAGTATCCATGAATGGATATATTTAGTTCTTTTAAAATAATATTAGAAACATGGACGTTTCCATGAAACATGTTGAAGACAGCTGCATTATGAAAGATTGACAAATTCATGTTACTTGCTTCCCACTTCATCAACTTCGGTTGAAAGTCGTGTAAGATTTTGACAACTTCTGAATGGATATACTGACACATATCTCATCTTAGTCATACAGGACATAAAATACACTCGCTACAGTCATGCGTTAATGTATCAAAGCACATTCAGAAAGGAAACAAAAAAGTAAAGGTTCATAAGTTGAAATATTTATGACAACTAAGAAGCCGGATCACACAGCACCTAGTTTGATGCACTCCCTTGATTAGGCAAAAGTTGCTTGTTGTAACTGTCATCAATTAAAAGCCGCTAAAAGGTTGTCTGTCCGATGGCTTGCATCAAAATTATCTTTACGATTTGCATATAGATGACAGCTGAATTTCTGTATTGTCAACCTGGATCAAGCTTACTAAAGAATGTGGATGCTTAATCATTTCGTTTGTGATCTAATTGTTGAATGTGGTATTTGGCAATGAGAAGCATGATATTCTAAAGATGGTCTATCTTTAGGTGGTTTGTGCACTTAATGTCATTTATGTAAGCTCACTTTGAACATTAACCTGTCCTTTTGGCTTTTAGGATCATAGTTCGTGCAGGTAAATTTTCACAAGTGAACACGTCGTAAGAGTAATAGTCCCATTTGAAATATTCTAAATTCTTTACAAGTTTTGTGTGATTGATGTTTGTATTGAGGCATTCCTGGTAGATATGATACAGTGTGTAGGCTGTGTGTAGGTCGTGTGTAATGTGTAGATTGTGTGTAATGTCTGTGTAGGCCATGTGTGTGTATGGGTGTAGGTTGTTTGTAGGCCATGTGTAGGCTGTGTGATGTGTGTATGGTGTGTGTAGGCTGTGTGTAATGTAGGATGTGTGTGAAGGCCATGTGTAGGTTGTGTGTAATGTGTGTTAGGCTGTGTGTAATGTGTGTGGCAATGTATCTGACTACATGCAAAGACCTTTCTCAGATTGTCTTAGTTGTGTAGTTTCTTGGGCAGATTTTACCCTTTAACCATTGTGATTGAGATGAACATTGTGAAGACGTTACACTTAATTTGCAAGAATACAATAAAATCTCATGAAATGAAGAATGAATCAGTCGTTTGATGCTCTGAAGCTTTTGAAATTTGCCCCAAACAAGTTATAGGATTGACCATTTGATATTCTTTGAAGAAGGAATGGGCTGTTGTTTGAAAGGAATTTGTTCCAGAAAATACCGGTCAAAATTAATTCTCAGTCAGGTTAAGGTATATTGTTTGCTGGACATGCTTATGTTCTGAAAAGAACAAGTTGTGAAAAATATGTGTTGCCATGCTTATTTGTTTGGAAACAGTGAGTGAAAATGATATCCTGTCACTTAATGAAAACAAAAATCTCTTATCTGAGCTCCACTCTTCCACTCCATCTTTCCTCTTCTTCACCTCACACTCGAATAACCGTGGGGAATGATTTGTACAAAGTGTGTGACAATTAGAGATGATCATACTTATTTTTTAGAAATTTATAATATGTCAAATATCATTTCTTGTATTTTGAAAAAGAAGATAAGATGTAAGTATGTCCAATCATTTTGTTAATTAAGTCTACTGTGGATTATTTACTTTCACCTTAAAACTAGTCAGACTGTTATCCTAAGTTTCTTTGCAGAATGCTGTCAGCATACACTAAGCATTGTGTGTCAATAGACCTGATTTTAAATGATCTGTCAACAGGAAAAGTATTGAATTCTTTATTTGTCTCTCAAACTTAGAAACTATGCATTGCTGCTGAGGTTTATGTAATTGATTAAATTGTTCTGATTGCCTCAAGAAATTGCTCCCTTTGCAATTTGTCTTACAACAAATGAGATGTATTTCTGTGCTGGGCTCTCAATGAAATGTCAGGATTTAGGACCCTGGGCCAATATTCCATAAACCACATGTCGTCTTTTAAATCCTATGGGATGTGTTTTAATGAATAAATAAAGGTCCTGGTATGGTGGTATCTGAAGGCGAAGGATTACACTACCCAAAATGACCTCCACACCATCTTGTTTCTTGGGCCTGTCAACAATACAATTTAATCCAGTCTCATTTGCCAGTAGCCTTGGGCTGTTGTCCACTGTTGGGCGATTGTCCGAGATGAACAATGGAACCAGGGAGTCACCTTCCACTTGACTTAACCCCCGGAGTCGGCCATAAGACCTGATTATCTTGGCTAATGTATTTGACCATCAGCTGAATGGGGCTTGTTGCGGGGTGCTTGACCCCAGGTAATCGGGTGTGACACGGCTTTCAGATGTTGTGCCATATTGGACAATGTGATAAGGAGCGGTCACTCGATTTAGGACGAACCACTTTACGCCATGACCAGTTTATACGTATCAGATGTGACCTCGTGACTGCTTAGTGTCCTAGAAACCGCACGACAGCACTTGGTTTCAGTTCAGTCGAGTTTCTTTGGTACTGACTGATCGTCACCCCAAATGACCTGGAGCCATCTTCTAACTTTAGTTATGATCTTTCAGAATGTCCTCACAGAAGTTACGTATCTTGGAAAAAATCACTGACACATGCTTCAGCTGAGATCAGTGTTGTGGGCTCCTGTGATTGCCTTGGGCGATGCACAGTTGTAGATAATGAACTATGGTTATATCAGTATACAATTGATCTTCTGAATGTTAACGGTTTGCACTGAACAAACATGCTGGCAAGACCTACAGATTACAATATCTAAACACTAAATAATATATTTGTATATCAGTAATTGGCCCAACATCTCTCATGACTAGATCCCCACTCAGAAACCCCAGCTTTTTAATCTTTTGTTCTCGAGGCTAGGTTCAGTAGCGCATGGTCAAAATGTTTAGTTTGTCGTGCTGAAAAACTGGACTGAATTCAACTAAAGTACATGAGGTGATCCCTTTGTGATACCGCTGGAATATTGCTACAAGTGATATAAACACTCATTCTCTTGTTCTTTCCCTCTAAATTATATTTTAAAAGACAAAATTGATAATAATTCCAAATTTGTTTATGAAAATTACCTCGTCTTCGAAGTCTTCTACAAAAATTGATTGTTTTCCTTAAAAGCCTCGTGATTAATCTGCTAATCAATTGAGTTACATGTTGTCATTTCTGGACCTGTTTTCCGGCCACTGTGCATGCAGTGTCAGTGCTAAGCTGCCCAATCCCTACTAGTTCCAGGATCTGCATCTCCTTGTCATCCGGCCTGCCTCCATTATCGGATTGCTTGTTAACGTCCCTCTCCATCTTCCTCGTGTTCACCCCAACATTTTAATGTTTCTTCTAACCCCATATTGTTAGATAGAGGCTTTACATAGCCACAAAATTCTCAAACTGTCACACCAGGAAAACGTTATGGTGCTTTTATCTAATGTTTCTAATTATTTCACTTGGTGTGATTGACATTTGCCTTTGCAAGACTTCGGTTTAGGACCGTAGGTTCTTCTGCTTGCCACAGATCAGTACTTCGTGAGTTGGTGGGTTTCTCAGTCAGTAAGAATAGTACTTGACGCTTCCTGTAAATGGTGATGTCATACCATTTCTGTAATATTAAAATGGAAGCATGTGTGTGTGTAAGGAACAATGCTTGCTTTTGTGTGATATGATGTTATAAGCACTCACATAACGAAGCCTTGGTTCATAGAGTTCAGTTATGATTACGGTCAGGGGCGGTAGCCTAGTTGTCAATGCGCTTGCTCATCACGCTGAAGGCCCGGGTTCGATTCCCCACATGGCTTCAATGTGTGAAATCCGTTTCTGGTGTCCCCCCGCCATTATAATGATAAAAGCGGCGTAAAACCCAACTCACTCACTCTTACGTTCATTGTCATGTGGTAAGAGGCGACTAACGGGATCGGGTGGTCAGGCTTCCTGACTTGGTTGACACATGTCATTGGTTCCCAATTGCACAGATCGATGCTCATGTTGTTGATCCCTTTATTGTCTGGTCCAGACTCGATTATTTACAGACTACCGCCATATAGCTTGAATATTGCTGAGCGCGACGTAAAACTAAACTCACCCATTCACTCATTGTCATGTGATAATATTATCTTAGCTACAATTTCTTTTTGTGATACAATTGTGGTGTCCCATTTAACTGTTGCTTGTAACGAGTGCCAACTAGAAATGACTGTGCTCATGCTATCAATCACAGGTTTGGCCAAGACTTGACTTGTTACTGACTGCTGTGTTAGAGGTGAAGTAATTTCACGGAGTTAGAAGTCAATCAACATTCATTTACGTTACGGTCATCTGAAAAGATCAGCCTTCATTTTGTTTCAAATACTAGTAATTCAAAGTCCACCCATGCAGACCCTCACAAGTCCATCCGAAATAGACCCCAGCAGAAGTCCAATACACAGTAGGGCAAGGCAGTAATCACCAAATACCTGTCCACTCGCCCCCATACAGACCCCCCAGTTACCCCATGTGGACCCTCACCTGTAGTCCACGATACAGGGCAGTGAGGTTGTAATGCATATTCTCTCTCCATTTACCTGTCCACTCCCCATACAGACCCCCCAGTTACCCCATGTGGACCCTCACCTGTAGTCCACGATACAGGGCAGTGAGGTTGTAATGCATATTCTCTCTCCATTTACCTGTCCACTCGCCTTATCTGCAGACAACATTGAGAACAGGTGACCTCAGCTTGGGTGCTGAAATTTATAGTCTGCGTATCAGCAAGTATCAGCGAGACATGGTCGTGGCCCTCCAGTGTTTACATGGGACGAGTAGGGGCCAGCTAGCCAGACAGCCCGATTATCTCCTTACCTAACTATGTGTAATAGTACCAACATACTGAATGCCCTTCCATGTGCAGGGGAAAAAAACGCCTCATCATGTTTGAGAAATTAATTACTTTCGTTAGTACAGAATTGACCAGGTTGTTTGTTTAGGTTATTTTTATAGTTTATTCTGATCCAACAAAATATTTAAGCGTCTTTGAGGTTACTTGCTCAAGTTCTCCGATTACTTCAGACATGAAATGAGGCTAATGAACGTTGTGTGTAGATAGGTGAAAAACAGACAGTGGTTTGGTCAAGACAGGTGCGCTGGGACACGCAACCAGCCAGGTAGATTACTGTGAGGTCACAGGAGGTCAGTGTGCGATTGTTCGACCTTGTAGCCCTATTTTGTCCCGTCAGGTGTCCTGGATATTATATACTGCTAGTCTGCTCAAGCACAACTACTTACATATTCAACCCAACAACCAGACACAGTACCATCACTGACAGTTTTCCCATGCGAGGGCTGTTATAGCATTTGAAGCCAGAGCAATTCACTGGATTTCATGACTGTACAAGATTGATAAGCCTGTCTCATGCCTACCTGTCCACATGCATCAGCAATTGTGTGTCCTTGAGCCTCAGTGTTGGTGACCTGAGTAATGGCATGCAGTGTCATACTAATGAAGATATTACTGCCAGATCTGTTTACTAAATTATTTTTTCCAAATCGCTCAGGTCATTGCCTTAACTTATCACCACACATATTACTTTTTAGTGGCAGAAGGACAGGTGTCCAAAGGTATATCAATGTTATAGTTTTTGCTGACTGTTGAACATGACTGAAATGCATTGAATCTATCAGAACATCATTAATCTTGATACTGGTAAGGTCACTGGAGTTATTAAACCTTTTCATCTTTACGTGTTTAAATAGGTAGAAACATATGGGTACATTTACTCACTTTGATGCTGATGCAAATATGGATACTTTACAGGTGTGCTCAAACTGATACAGGTGTGCTTAAACTGATACAAATATGGATACTTTACAGGTGTGCTCAGACTTATACAAATATAGATACAAATAAACTGATACAAATATGGATACTTTACAGGTGTGCTTAAACTGATACAAATATAGATACTTTACAGGTGTGCTTAAACTGATACAGATATGGATACTTTACAGGTGTGCTCAGACTTATACAAATATAGATACTTTACAAGGGTGCTTAAACTGATACAAATATGGATACTTTACAGGTGTGCTCAAACTGATACAAATATGGATACTTTACAGGTGTGCTCAAACTGATACAAATATGGATACTTTACAGGTGTGCTCAAACTGATACAAATATGGATACTTTACAAGGGTGCTTAAACTGATACAAATATGGATACTTTACAGGTGTGCTCAAACTGATACAAATATCTACTTTACAGGTGTGCTCAAACTGATACAAATTGCTTTACAAGGCCTGATACAGATTCGGATCCAAGGGTTCTTCAGTATATGAGATTAGGGGTGAATCAGTGATCTTACCATGCACAGAAAAGAAAAGAAATGCCTTCGGATTTCCATTTCGGTCCAAAGTGATTGATCATTCATTAAAAGAAAAGAAATGCATGGCATTTTGACAAAGTGATTCGATTCCTTATGTGGTGGAGAAGCTTTTATGATGATGAACAACTTCTTTGTTGCAGTGGTGGTATCGACGTTTGATTGTAGATCCTAACACCATTATCAAGAAAAAATACGTTTGATGTAGATGATCATTTTGCTTGATAACGGTGTTAGGATCTACACCGAAGCGTCGCAACTACCACTGCAACAAAGAAGTTGTCTATCCATAAAAAGTGTTCCACTTCAAAGTGATTCGATTTCTGGACATTTTAGAAAAGGCTTAAAATGGTTAATAAAATGATGGTACTAAAACCGAAAATACAGATTTTTTGGATTGCATCATGGTATACCAAACCGAAGGCAAATTACCACGGTTCTACTAATACCGCCATATACCATTTCACCCCTAATACATATATGGATACTTTGCAGAAGTGCTTAAGCTGATGCAAATATGGATACTTTATATGGGTGCTTGAACTAATACACAAATATGGATACTTTATGGGGGTGCTTAAACTGATACAAGTATGGATACATTACAAGGGTGCTCAAACTGATGCAAGTATGCAACTGACACAAATTGGGGTACTTTACAAATGTGCTTAAACTAATACACAAATGTGGATACTTTACGAGGGTGCTTAAACTGATACACAAATATAGGTACAGTAACGTGTGCTTATACTGACTGCAATTATGCTTTTCATGGTACACATAATGGATCCTAAACCGATATTAAATCTTTGGTAGGCAGGATGCTAGGCTGCCATACATTGGGGTATGTGAGTGGTTTAGGAGACCGAGTAAATACTCTTGTATGTTCAATTTCTTTCCTGAAAACTTGACAGACCGGGTACACATCTAGTGAGCTAGAATAAATGGTTGAAGTAGCCGGTTAATGGTGTCCTGTGAAAGGTATATAGATCAAGATGGGCAGTACCGACCGACAGCTGCACTGCATGTGCGTCACACAGGTAAATATTAGGGTAGATGCAATGTAGGTAAGCTGTACAACACAGGTAAGCCAAGCTGCGAGAGTTCACGTCCTCACCCTACTTGTCAGGCTAACCGGTTGTCATGTGCTGGCGACACAGCTCTCAGACGCTACAACCTCGGACACTTGCATTGTGTCTATGCTGGCCTACCTTGAATATGTCATGTTTTGAACTTTTTAAATCCATGCCTCATAGCGTTCACTATTGAAACACTTTGTAGTTTCAGCTAGAAGGAGGTTCCAACTTGCCCATAGAAAAGATATTTTTTTTGTGGTCTAGAGGCCTACAATGTGTCATGGTTTATGAGCAGGGGTTATGCTCGTTCTTTGATGAAATATTTTCAACTTTGTGCACAAATCATGTAGACGTTTTTCCTTTGATGCATATTACCTTAAAGCTACATTACAGAACGTTATTGGTAGAACACACTCAAATATTAGGTATAGGGTATTACATTGATGATAATGTCATGGTCTGAGGTATATTTATTTTCAATTGACAGGCTATTTACATTTTTGACACGTTTATGAAAATGAACTGTACAGGGTGATTGAAATGTCAGGGCTTGAATTCAGTTTATGGCCATTATTGTAAGTGCTGGCCTCCATTTCTTTCATGTATGTTGATTAACATCATAGACTTGCCATTGTTTATACATGGTACTCAATGAAATCATCTTTTATTTAGTGCGCCTTCTTATTTAGTAAAATGAATGTTTTTTAAAAGATAAAGCATCTGTTTTAAGGTACTTTATCAAAATATATAATTGATAATGGCCAATTTGTTCCAATAGTCTGTCAAGGATGAGGTTATAGATTCCATTGCTAATTATTGAAAAATCATGGATATTTAAAGTATTCATTAATGAGTAATTAGGCCCTAGACATATGAATTTGAGTTAATGGTTGCTATGTGATGTGGATGGTTGTCAGGCAAACTGTATTGTGTTTGCATCGTAGAGCTTGTCCTCTGTGTTCTAGAAATCAGTATTCAGCTGTTGTGAATTTTAATGAGTAACAGAAACCTAAATTTATCAGTTTCAGGTTACATTGTTGAACGATCTTGGTGCATTGAAGTCTGTGTTTCGTAGACTGGGCAATGTAGGCAGTATAGGAATTGGATATCACAGATGTTATAGACAAAGTATGCAAACTATGCATGTATTATAGCAAGAGATTTAGCTAAGGCTGTAGACACATGCACATGCTTTTACAAGTCTTCCCAGTGGCCCATTGCGTTCTCTTGACATTTAAACTTGCCAGAAGATATGTGTCACAACTGATTTGAACTAGTTCACATTTGATAGGGATACTGTGATATTTCATCCTGCACTTAGTGTGACACCAAATTAACTTTTTGAACTGTGTATTTATGTTTAATCATCTTGAATTGAAGGTGCACATGCTACTGTGCCATGGCAAATTCAAATGCTATTTGTAAGACAACATATCCAAACAGGAGACCCCACATGGATACTGCAAATCCTTTTCAAAAGTTGAGAAGTATACTACTCAAAAGTAGTTAGGGACAACAGGATTTTTTGTTATTACTGTTGATAATCTGCATATATTAATGATAGTTATATTAAAGAATTGTGTGGTTCCTAACTTCTTTTGTGTAGTGTATGTTTCTAACATTTTATGATATGTACTTCAGTGCTGTATAAAAATTCAACTCTTATGTTCTTGGTCAGCATGGTTGATCTTACACCAAAAGATATGTTGTCTTGCAAATAGTATTTGAATTTGCCATTGCACTGTAGCATGGGCACCTTCACTTCAAGATGATTAGACATAAAAACACTGTTCAAAAACTTCTTATGTTCTTGGTCAGCATGGTTGACCCTATTCTAAATACCCATAAATAGTTTTGAAGAGAGTGGTCGATTGTCTGCATCTAGTGATGAAACATGTCTGCATCGACTGATGTTGGTGTAAGATGATGAATGTTGCTATTGTTGCCTCTGCAGTGACGTAAGACATACTGAACAGCACTGATGTGGAACCTCTGCTAGTGTGACATGGTATAACTGACATGTTCGTATTGTATAGCATCTGTCGGGACATATCTCTCGTATACACCGGGTAGGTTTGGTCGGCTGGGCAACTGATGAGATAGTACAAGGTCTTGTGACCTAGTCTAGGACAGTGGGCAGTGTTGCGGAACCAGGGTCTGCATTGAGTTGTCGGGGATGCTGAATGGCTGCACATGCTGCAGACTCTATTGTCCGGGGAGATAGGGCAATCATTGAAAGTAGCTTATGGGTAGGCTAAAGTTTAATCACTTAAAAGGGGCATAAATTGTCAAAGGGTTTAAAGTTTGCTTTAACACAGACATTCATCAAGCATGTTTCTTTAGCAGGTTCCTGACTTCCATCAACCCAGGAGGGTATATAGTGTAGGAGGCATAAAACTTGGAGATATTGGGTGCTGGTTCACGCTCCTATCTTCACAGGACATTGGTTCAGCGATAAAGGAAAATGTACACGGTCCTAGACAGTATTAATTAGCACTTGTGCAGGGACGTAGTTGGCCAATGAAAAAGGCAGTAAGGCATTATGTTACATACATTACTTCACTCTATATCTTATAGTGAGGTGAGAAGAATTTAAGACTTGATACATGACTGGTTCAACTACATATACCAGGATGAGAACAGAGTTTACGGATGTTGTTTTTATTAAAATGAAAGTATATATTTACTCTAGCTGTTTCATTTGAAATCTTTAGTGTGTGGGAGTTGGAGAAATGGTGCCTGATAAGAATTTTGTGTCATGAGTTGTTGCTGACTCGGTGGCAGCAAGTCAAATGACAAATGAATTCATGCTTCCCTTTTGTCTCTGCAACCAAATGGGTGGACAGACATCATGGACGAGACCTGCTACCTGTGTTATAAAGTTCAAGGAGAACAACACCCATGTGTCCTGTGCAGCAACTGCAGATCTATCTGACTTCCCAGTAATATTTTTTTGGCTCTTACTGGATATTTTGAACAATTGTGGGTATTTTCCCAGGCCCTGAGAAGCCCCAACTGTTGGTGCGAGAGCGAGTGGGCGAGGATGACTGTCCTGGTCTTTGTGTAGACCCTGAACCACGCAGTACCTTTGTCATTGCTGGATGTGCTCTGCTGGGGGAGGGAGGCAGGGAGCAAGCACGTGGCGAGCAGCTACAGAAAGCTCCGCCCATGTTTAATGCTGGCCAGTCACTGTACAGCTTATTCTCAATAGCAGGTGGCCGGATTTGTCAGACCCGTCCAGAAATTTAAAACACTTGAGTAGTCATGGAAAATTGGCATGATTTAAAAAAAATTAGATTTGCTGAAGAATATTCAAAGACATGAGCATTCTTTTCAGATTATGATGGATGGCGAATTAATTGTGTGTTATTACCTCATGGTCTCGGAACAACGGTAGCAATAATATCCACGAGGGCGTAAGTTAGGGGACACAAAAAAACTTTGTTAAAAAAAAACTAGCAAGCTAGACGTTAATATTAACCATCATTTTCATCAAATTAAAAATGAGACTAAACCAGCATGCTGTGGAGAGCTGACAAGTTTATTTGATTGTTATGATCAACTTAAAGAATTGATGCAATTGCACTGGTTCTGTGAAGTGATCTGGATATGATATTGTGGTGAATTTAAGCTGGTTGAGTTGATGTATTGAACAAACTGGGTGTCATCTTAACCTCTGCGTAAGTAGTGCTTAGAAGCTGTTTTTGTTAGGTGGAGTTATATATTATTCTTTTATTGTGTATCTTGAGGGTTGAGTGAGTATTGTTTTCACCGACATTGAAAATAGGAATCGAAACAATGGATAATTAACTAATTGATTGAAATGTAGACAGATATTGAAATATGTTGAATCGTTTATCAGTTAATTATGTAATGTTTGAATCCAGGACTACAAAAACATAAATCTTAAAATCTTTTCACATTATTATTGAAGTTTTGAATATTCTTCAGAACATTTTAGTTTCTCTTTATTCTCTAAATGTGAAATCAGTCTGAAACCTTTTGAAGAAGATGATACTATTAATGTTATAAACATTAATAGTGTTATAAACTCAGATTTGGCACTGACATGGAAGATATGTCATCTTCAAAGAGGAATAAATTCGTGCAAACAATCTTACAATGATCACAAAACTTACATTATGGTGATAAACACTGTCAATATTTGATAGTAAGGACGGAGATATTATTCAAATTGTACCTTTTCATGCTTCATTGCTTATCCTGGGACGAGCCCAGCCTTGTCTATAGCCCAAGGTGCTGGGCTGACACAAGCCTTTTTCTTATAGCTTACCTTAAGTCTGATCGGGTGCGGGGATTTTATTGAGTGGAGATAGTGACCTATCACCTTTCAAGACATGTAGATCTGGTGTGCAGACTTGTCATTGTAC